GAAATCCCCCCCGGGGGAGGATGGCCACACTGCGGCCCCTTCTTCCTTTTCCTCGCAGGATTTTGGGCATGCACACACACGCCCGTAGTGATTTTCAAGCTGCTGGGTCTGGGGCTTGAACCACAATCAGCCATGTGAGAATCCAGCACCTTAACGTTCATGCCAAATGCTGGCCCTATTACTAGGCTGTTTGCAGAGGTTGAATAAAGCACAAGATTACTGGGGCACCGGGAGGGGCAGGCTCCTGAGGGACACTGTACTTGTGGTTGGTGTGAGCTGAGGCCACCACAGGCGGGCTCTGCTCCTCTGTGTGTGGCTTAGGCGGGGACGGGGGGCTCCTTCCTTTCCTGGGTGGGACCTGGGCTCATGGGCTTTGGCAGTGCCTTACCGTCCTGGCCTCTCACTACAGCCTCCTCCAACTGAGGCTGAGATGGCCTCTCTGTAGCCAGCGGTCACCTCACCTTCATGGTGGCCCCTGGAGCAGGGCCTTGTGGTCTCATTCTGCTGCTCCCATCCCTTTCCACATTCAGTTTAGAAGATGTCTTTTTGAGGTTAAAAAACTGATTTTGCTGCAGTTCAAGTCCCAGACCTGGCAGCTTGCATTCTCACTTTCTATTTCTCTCTGGTGACCTCATGTTCCTATAGTAAATAAATTAAAATAATAATAATAATAAAATTAATTAAATGATTTTTCTTCAGCTTCTTTTCTTAGTTTTATCAATTATCTCTTGAGTCTGCTCTGGGACAGTAACCTCCTTCATTGATACTGGTAGAACAGCCTCTTATTTCAATGTACCTCGTTGAGGTTTTCTGGGTGTCCTGGTGTTACAGGGGGTCCCCCTGAAGCATGGCCCCAGGCCCTGCTGTGGCCAGGCAGGTGCTCCGTGCTTCCCTCACGGCTTGTGCCTGGGATGCGGCTCAGGTGCTTCCCCTCGACGTGTCCACAGGCAGTGCAGATGAGAGCTTTGGGGACAGGCAGCACCTGAGCTTCCTGTCCTCATGTGGGGTGTGTTACCGTCATCCCCGACACCTGGGAGGCTGGGCATTGGGAGGGAACGTCGTGAAGAGAAATAAGGAGCTAATAGGTGGGGAAGGACGCAGATAGCCCGGTGTCCCTGGGAGCCGATTTGACATTTAGCCAAAGTTCAGTGAGTTGTCTCATGCCGACAGGAGGGCGATCTGGAGGGACTTCTCTGGCCAGCAGAGGTGTCCAGTGCGGCTGCATTTCCACATCCCTATTCATCCCGCACAGATGAAGTGGGTCTTTGTTGTGTTTCAGCTTCGAGTCAGTTTGGAGGGAAAATGCTCGCCTTTCTTTGGCTCAAATTGTGAAACACAGCAAGAAACAATGAACGCAACCTTTCAGGGTCTATGCAGAATGACTCCCATCCCCCTCCCTTTGCTCTTTCTCATTCGAAAAGGTCACAGTTATTAAAGGTTAAATTTTTGGAAGGAACATTGCTAGCCTATGTGAGAAAACGGTCCATGTGTGGGACCTGTGGTCTCCAGGGGATCTGTGCCCTCTCGGTCTCTATATTCATACGCAGGCCCACAGGAACGAGTGTCAGGGTTCCCATCGTGTTAAGTCGTAGCTCCGAGTCTGTGCACAGCTGTAAAACCCAGGAGAGGGGTGTGCTAGCTGGAGTATCGGGGAGAGATCGTGGGAGTGCTGAGGTGTTGCTGCGGAAAGTCCGAATATAGGAAAGTGGGAACATGTGGACCATACAGTCATTATTTATGGAGCCATCAGTGTTGCTCACAAAGGATCAGGTCCCTAGCTGTGCTGGTGACGGTAATGCAGCCACACCAACAGTGTCGTGTGCCTGGCAGCTCTCCCACACAGCTGAGCTCAGGGCTGCTGGGGACTCACGTAAAGGCATTCAAAACCCTTGGGAAAATGGACCCAGAGGTAGCTTCCGGCCCGATGACTGGAAATTCTGACTCGTTTGGTCTGAAGTGAAGGCTCAGCTGCCTTTGTAACTAGTGGGTTGTTGGAAAAGTCATGATGCATATTTTTTTGCATAGAAAAACAGAAAAATACACCTTGACTTTCCCGATGACCTAATAGCTCTGCACACACCCATGGCCTACACTTCGAGAAACTTCTGCCGGTTACCACTTCCTTGTGTGTATTTTTGTCCCCGAGTGAGGACTGGGTGAGACCATGGTACAAGAGTGATGATTATCCCAGTGTTTCCTGCGTTCTCAGTCTCCTGACGTACGTGGGCTTCGTGGTGTTACACCTGCCCCAAAGTCCGCTCTCACCCTTCTGTTTAGAACGAAGCACAGTGTTTCTCTGAAAGGACTCCGTGTGATAATAGGGGAATTTTTTTTTTTTTTCAAGAGGAAGAAATCAAAGAATCCTGTAACTCTGTATCTTGTAATGGACTTCTGGGGGTATCTTTCTACTGGGGCAACCTCACCTGCTATTGTCAGGAGAGACAGGCAAGGTCCAGGGACCTTCAAGCCCGAGAGGCTGGGGCTTTGGTTCCCAAAACATGTGACTTAGAACTTAGCGATCCCTGAGTTCTCAGGGCCAAGTGGGGCAGCCGATCTGCTCTTGAGGAAGGTCCTCAAGGACACCTTAGAGGGAAAACTGTGAACTGAAGGTTAGGTGGCAGGATTTTCGGATGTCTGCGTGTCAGTTCTCAGGGATAACCCAGGCGTGTGTGTGCATGATTAAGCAGTGGGACTGACTGGGGTGGCTAATCTGCAAACCTTATTACTGGTCGGTATTTGCCCTCTGTGTTAAAATCCTTCTAACAGGATAGCTTTCAAAGGTACCCAGACTTGACAGTTTGTCTCCTTTCCTTGTGCCCCACCGGGCTTCCTCGGAAGTTGCTAGGAAGTGGTGAGAGAATTAGGTAGCAGAAGGAGGGGAGGAGGAAAAGCAGTTTTGTTAGGAATTACCAACGGTCTGATGTGTTCCCAGCTCTCCGCTGACCTCGCCAAAGCACGGCTGAGGGGTGTTGACTAGGCCCTCCTTCACCCACCTAGGGGGCCTAGCACAGTGTGAGTGTGACCCTTACAGCCCAGCAGCAGCTCCCGTGTGTGACTGCCCTCTTGCTGGGCCATCTTGGCTGCTTCTGGGAAGCATTTTGGCAGCGCCCCAGCCAGCCTGGCTCTGTGCATTGCAGAGGTTGAGCAAAAAGGAGGCAGGTTGTTACCAGGCAGAGTGAGCTCCAGATATGCCCACGGGGACTGTCGCATAGACACTGAGCTCACCGCAGCACAGAGGGAGAATGAGAGTGCCGAGCCTTCTCCAGTTCACCTCTCGCCTCACACAGTGGTCATTTTAGTGACTGGTGATCCTAGTCACTGCCGATCAGGCCTAAGCCCACCAGTCTCTGGCTGCCAAGGTATGGCTCCCAGTGGTCACCGGCAGCTACACCTAGCAGGTCTTCCTTATGCTAGGGCTGCTTCTATGACTGAATCTGAGACCAGGGATCCTGACCAAAAGGAGGAAGAGGACTTCTGAAGTAGCCTGGGCTCTCTGGCTATTAAAACTAACTTGGTCATGAGGGAGAGCAGAGGGCAAGGTGGAAGAAGACAACCCCAAAGCCCAAGTGGGTCTCACATTGGACACAACAGCTAGCACTTCTGACACGGAGTCAGTCTCTAGCCAACTGCTGGTGGAAAGCCGGCCTGAAGATGGACTCTTCTGAAGTGCAGGGTTCTCAGTGACCCAGTGCTCACGGGGGAGGGCCTCTGGCCTTATTCTCACACTAGTCTGGCTTTGGAGGACTAAAGAGGAGTGGTTGGTTTTAGCCTCCTGGGAAGCTAAATAGGTTTTTGCTGTTAATCAAACAATCTGCATTGCCTAGGCTAACTATTGAGTTAGAATAGTCATGACGTGTTTCTCTATGCACGAATGCCTCGTGACTTTTCTGACAACCCAACAGAAGCTGCTCAGGCCCAGACACTTCCATTTCACCTCTTTCTCTCCTTTCCCTGGGACAGTGAGGGGATACCACATCTCACGTTGCAAAGTGGGCTGCGAGGGGGTAGTGGGGCTCTGTTTTAATACTCTGGGCTCTTCTGGGGATCATGACTGCTTCTAGCACCCGTGTTTCTAGCTAGCGCCAGGAGCTTAGTGACTTGGGACACCTCTGAGCTCCATCTGTGTCTGGAGGCAGTCTGCTGTAGAGGAATGAGCACTGGGAAGGATGCCAAGACTCTTTTTTTCCCGCTCTGCAGTTAACTTGTCCAGTCACGTACGTTTGGGTTAAACACAGTTGAAGCTGATTTGTCTCCTGCAGGAATTTCAAAAGCCTTTGCCATGTGTTGTGTACTTTTCATTTCCAAAAAAGAACTAGACACAGTATTTCCTAAACAAATTTGCTCACGGGACCCTTTTGAAATGGAGTATCCCACCAACGCCTTGCTTTACAGTTCGCGACATGCCGAGCTAGAAGTTGCTGTCATGGCGTCATCCGACCTGGTGCATGGAGCTGTTGGTTCTCTCTGGCTCCTGATACCCCCTTGAGGAGGAAACAGTATTTCTGGTGGGATGTCAGAGAGACCAGATGGTGGTGTTGCACTGAATGGGAGCAGGAGCTCTCCCCTGATCCTTTTCTCAGGAAAGTCCGGGCCTCTTTTTCTTCTGGAAACTAGTAATGATTCCTCCAAGAACCTGCGCTCTGCCCTCGGCTGTCCAGAAATGAAGGGTAATGCTCTGGGCATGGACGGCATTGTGAGGGCTTCCCTCTGTGTCTGTTGTGTTTGAAAGGCCCCACTTGTCACACGGCATAATTTCTTTCTCTTCCTGTCATTTGCAAGATCCCACTAGCAGGCAGGTGTGACAGGGCCTTTGCTTGCCTGGTCTGAGCAGAGGCCTCAAGTGTGGATGGAACTAGCTTGGGTAGTTGGTCGGTTCCCCAGCCTGGGCTTTGCGGTTTCTGTTTGCAGAACACTTTTAAAGATTATTGCCAAGGTCCAGGATGAGACCTAGAGGGGGGCCTTCGCCCAAAGGCAAGCAAAACACTAACAAGAGCTGTGAAGACTAGCCACGCACAGACATCCCACTTGGTTATCGGAGGCAAGGAAGCAAGCATGTGGGTGGGCCCAGGGAAGCAATGCCTGTCTGTAAGGCCACTTTTGAGGAACCTGGAGGCCCTCAAAGGCCCACCCTTCAGTCAGACAACATTGGAATGTCATGGAGAGGGAAAATGGGAACACACATAGATAGTTGATTCCTGGGTCAAAGGCATTTAGAAAGTATGTTGTCAGGCCTTCCATTCTGCTCCGGACAGGAACCAAGGCTGGGCTGGAGGACGGGGCAGGAGAGGGGCCAGTGCGGCAGAGGTGCTCAGCCCCCAGGCCTGTGTGGCTCAGTCCGAGAACAGGCTGGCGAATGACTTCCTCAGGTTGCGGATGGTTTCTGCCTTGGCCTCATCTTCACTTGGGGCCCCACGCTGGGCGGTATCGGATGTGCTGAGGCTGTTAGTCAGGGACTGAGATTTGCTGGAATAGAAAAGCAAGGGGGTTGGGGAAGGCAAGGCTGAGACTCCCAAGGCCAAGTGTTGAGGCCTGCCTGGCAGCCAGGTGGGGGGCCCTCATCCTCAAAGTGATATGAAGAGCAGACACCAGGCATCCCAGGAGTCAGGCAATGAAAGGTGCATGACACGCAGAACCGGACCTGCAGGGTGCTTCTGTGAGACTCATCATCGTTTTATATTAATTAATTAATTAATTAATTATTGCCTTAGGGCATGTGCACTTCTGGGGAGAGAGAGACAGAGACAGTGAGAGGGAAAGTGAGAAGTCACCCTTCAGCGGGAATGGCCACGCAGCAATCCTTTCTCCATTCTCCCCCCGAGATCTTTGGCATACATACACATGCAGCTGGCATAAGTTTCAAGCCACTGGGTCCGGGACTGGAACCACGGTCAGCCATGTGGGAGTCCAGCGACATAACCACTATGCCATCTGCTGGCTGCAAGCTTCATATTTTAAAAAAAATTATTTTATTTAACTTAATTAATTAATTTAAATTTGACGAGAGAGAGAGAGAGAGAGAGAAAGTGAGAGAGCAAACCATCAGGTCTGGGACTCGAACTGTGATTGATCATGTGGGAGTCCAGTGCCCTTAACCACCGTGCCACCTGCTGGCCCCCAAGTTTCATATTTTAGGTGCAGAAACTGGGGCTCACAGGTAGCATTCTCAGTGAGCAGTGGGGAGCCCCAGAGCACACGCACTTCCGGCCGCCTGGGCTGTTCAGAAGGCAGGCGCTGCTGGAGTCCATGAGCACTCTCCTGCCGTGGTGCGTGGGGCCCTTCAAGAACTGTCTTGTGCTGGATCAGAATCAGGATAGTTACTCCTCCTACAATTTCCAGGCGTGGTTTGGAGTCAGGAAGCCTGTGTTCTAGACCCCTCTCTACCATTTGGCATCTATGGCTCTGGGCAAGTAACCTGCCCTCTCGGAACCTCATTTTGCCCATCCAGAACTAGAAGGCTGGTTTAGCCGACCCTCGGGCTTTCCTAGCTCTAACATCCTGGGCTTCGGTTCTCACCACTTCCCTGAAGCCTTTATTGCCATCCCCTTGTTCTGGAATTGCCAGCGTGTCCGCCGTGTGAGCCACAGTGTGCAGTGCTCTGAGCTCTTCATGAGTGCCAGCCAGAAGCAGCCACCCACTGAGTCAGGCCTAGTGTTAGGTGACAGGCACAGCCATGAATACGGTCCAGGTCCTGCCCTCAGGGGGCCTACAGTAGGGTGGAGATGACAGACATAGGGATGAGATAAAAGTGTCACAGTTTTGTCGCCCCACTAGAAAACTGAAACCTAGGCCAGCCAGTAGCATGGCAGTTAAGGTGGCTGGATCCAACATGGTCGACTATGCGATTTGAGTCCCTGACCCAGTGGCTTGAAAAACACTCTGGGCACATGCGTGTACACACCCAAAATCTTGAGAGGAAAAGGGATTGCAACCTGACCTCCCCCCACGGGAGGGCTTCCTCTCTTTCTCTCTTTCTGGCCAGTGCCTGTGTGCTGTAGCAAATTAACAAAACAAAACAAAACTGAAATCCTCTTCAAAGCAGGGATTATCTTTTACTCCTTGCTTATTGTCCTCTGCAGTGCCTCATCCAGAGGGCAGCACGAGTAGGTATTTGGTGAATATGTGCCAACCTGAATTGAACCAAATAAAACTTGAAAACAGTAAGTCAGAAGATTTAAGGTTTTTTTTTTTTTTTTTTTTTAAGCAAAATTGCTATACGGCCATTGTCCAAACCTGGCCTTTGTCTGTCCCGATCAGCAGACCTGATCCATTTATTTGGTGTCAAGCTGTCAAAGATATGCCCACACGGTGCCTGCAGCATTCTAAGCATTAACTGCATGAATTCAGTTTAAGCCTTATAGTAACCCTGTGGGGCCAATGTCCCCATTCCGTGTATGAACAAATTGAAGCACTGAGAGGTTAAGGAACTCATTGGAGGACATGCAGCTTTTAAGTGGAAGAGCTGGGATTTGAACCCAGGCAGATAAACTCTGGAGTCTATGACACAGTGACTGGAAGGTCACTTGCTAATATTTATTAAACTAAAAATACATTTATCCTTTGTTCCAACAACCATTCCAACATTTTCTCTATGGTGAATCTGAAAAGATGAAAGTAAATATTCTTATTAACTATAGCATCGTTTATAAGATCAAACCAAGTTTTTGTTTATGGTGGGTTAGATAAATTATAGTACAACTACACAGTGGAATACTATGCAGCTGTGAAAAGGAGCAATGTCCAGTGAACTGGGTGGAAGAGAGTACCTTGAAACTTCTTCTCTTGCTCTTTTGGAAAGCAATTACACCATGAGAAAGCCTGGACTAATCTTGGACAGGATAAGATCCCATGGAGGCCCAGCTGATCGCCCGCACTACAGCCAGATGTGTGTGTGAGACCTTCCCAGACCGTTCAACCCCAGTGAAATTGCCACATGACTGCAGTCATGAAAGCGATCTCAGGACAGTTGGGTGGCCAGATTTAGCAAATAAAAATATGGGACATCCAGTTAAATTTGAATTTTAGATTAAAAAAATACTTTTAGTGTAAGTATAGCCCATGCAATATTGGGGGGCATCAACAAATTATCTGTTGTTTTTCTGAAATTTAAGTCTAACTGGGCATCCTATATTTTGACTGGTCATTCTATAAGGGACACCAGCATAAGAACTTTCCAGCTGAGCTGAACTCAGAACAAACTGCTGAATGAAAAAACTATGAACACAGACAATGGCTGTTTTCTGAAGTTACTGAGTTTGGGAGTGATTTGTTATGCAGCAAGAGATAACTGATGCATGCCTATGGGGAGGGTCATGGGGGCCTAGTCCACACTGCCACTTTGCTGGGCCTGTTGCACAAAGCCCCTCCTCTAGACCCGTTTCTACCCACTTGAAGTCTGGATGAGGACTCATCGCGTCTTCCTTTGTGTGAATCCTCAACCCTGAGTCAGCCCAGCTCTGTTTTATACCCTGTCCAATTCCCAAAGCACTTACTTGAGATGGGGATGGGGCGGTACTGGTTTCTTGGACTCTTCGCCCTGTTGGGAGGTGCTGCGTCCCTGCACCGGGGGTCGGGGCTGTGAGGTGAGGGTGGTGCCCGGTTTGGAGGCCTGGTTTGGGGAGGTGCCACTGGATGCCCGGGATAGCTGTGGAGAGCCTGGTGACCTCGGCTGCTGTGGAGATCCAGACTGGGGGCTCAGGGGCTGCTGGCCTTGTGGGGAGAGCCTCTGCTGGGAGGGGCTTCTGGATCTCGGGGGCTGAGGAGACTGAGCTTGACGAGGTCCCCCTACGTGCCAACAACCAAAAGTTAGTTCCAAATTTTCACAGGATAAATATGGCTGCACACAGATGATGCTGCCTCACGGATGTTTATTACAGTGGTTTTTTTTGTAACAGTGAAACACTGAAAGTAATATAAACGTTTAATCAAGTGACTAGGAGCATTAAGATACATCCGTACAGTGAATACGCTGTGGTCATCACACATGATGTGGCAGAATAAATAAAGTGACAAATGAGTTTGTTAAAAAAGTATTCGGCCTTTTATTTATTGGGTCATTGGAAAAGACATGATATATTTTTGTTTTTCTATGCAAAAATGTGTCACGATTCTTCTGATGACCGAATATTTTATTTTATCTTTTTAACTGCCAAAACATCTATGTACATGTTGGAGAGAGACAGAGAGAGGGGGTGCTCCCTCCCACCCCAGTGGGGTTTGATCACACTGTAATCCGTTCTCCTTCACCTTTCCACACCGTTGGATTTTTCAGGCAGACACACAAATACGTCCAGCATGTTTTTAAGCTACTGGAGCTGGGACTCAAACAGTGCTTGGCCATGTGGGATTTAGCTCCCTTAACCACTAAGCTCTAAGACTGACCCAATATAGGGGTTTTTTTGTAAGAGAAATGTTTGTTATGGGGCATGTGTGCTCAGTGGAGAGAAGAGAGAGAGAGAGAGAGAGAGAGAGAGAGAGAGAGAAATCATCCCCAAGGGGGGATGGCCACGGCACAATACCCTC